ATACACAAAAATAATTTTCTATTGGAGTGATGACGCCACCACTATGTTCTTTCATCTATTGGATTCTCTCCAAGTTTGCATCGTGAAGACCCTGATGTGAGCATTGTGGGCCTTGATGTTCATGATACGACGGAATGCGACACTCCCAACAACTTCTCCAGGCAGGACTCTCCCTCTCCCATTACATCGGTTCCTTCACTATCCATGGTTTGCCTAACTTTAACTTACAACGCAGCTTGCTAGCTCCTGGCGTTGAGCAGCAAATCTAGCTTTTTTCTCCTGGACCGAGCGTCTATTGCGCCATGATCTGTTTCTCATTGGATCCTACTGTGGTATTATCGCCATCATGCACGAGCTATGGTCACGGAAACGGTTGGAAGATTCAACAATGAAAGATTTAAAGGGCAGGCCTCCCTGCTTCCTTGACATGCTTCCGTTTCCTTTTCGTATTACATCTGGGAGTCACTCGCTGTTTCAATTTCCACTCGTTTCGCCTAAAAAGTTGTGTTGTGGTGTTCGCTTTCATTAACCGGTCTGAGTATCGATAATCGAAATGGTCAAGGGAGGTGTCGCATTACTGGCCTTTGCTGGCCCAGCTCTGGCAGGAGTCATTGCTCGCGGTGGAGAGGTATGCTGGAAATCATTCTGACACTGGTTGTCTTGCACATGCTGACATGAACTTCGATAGCCTGATGTCAAAACCGTCGTCGGCCCCAACTTCCCTGGTAAGAAATGCCCGAATCCCTTACTGCTTATGATCGTCTCTAATTCTTGTACAGTGGGTACTGGCACGGCCCCGCCTCCCCCTCCTCCTATCCAGTTTCCTACTGGTACTGCGCCTCAGCCCAAGCCTACCACCAGCCATGGGACTGCTCCTATTAAGCCTACCACCAGTCATGGTACGGCTCCTATCAAGCCTACCACCAGTCATGGTACGGCCCCTATCAAGCCGACTACTAGTCATGGAACGGCCCCTATCAAGCCGACCACCAGTCATGGAACGGCCCCTATCAAGCCGACCACCAGTCATGGTACCGCTCCTATCCAGCCCACCACCAGTCATGGAACGGCTCCTATCAAGCCGGTCACTACTGAAACTACTGTCGGCCCCATTCCCACTAACGGCACAACGGTGATCCCACCTGCAACCGTTACTACCCATACGCCTGTACCAATCCAGAATAGCACCGTTATTCCCACTCAGTCCACTCAGCCGCCATTCCAGAACACCACGGTTCCTGTTGTTCCTATTGTTCCTGGCGAGACCAGTGTCCCCGTTGTTCCCGGCGAGAGCACTGTTCCTGCTGTTCCTGGTGAGACCAGTGTGCCTGCTGTTCCTGGTGAGACCAGTGTCCCCGTTGTTCCTGGCGAGAGCACTGTTCCTGCTGTTCCTGGTGTTTCGACAAGTGCTGTTCCTGGCGAGACCAGCGTCCCTGGAGTTTCTACCAGTGGCGTTCCCGGCGAGACTAGTGTCCCTGGAGCCTCCACGAGCGTTGTCCCTGGTGAGACCACTGTTCCCGGTGCTTCCAGCGTTGTACCTGGTGCTTCCGGCGAGACGTCCGTGCCTGGAGAGACTGCTGTGCCTGGAGAGACTGCTGTGCCTGGCGAGACTGCTGTGCCTGGCGAGACTGCTGTGCCCGGCGAGACTGCTGTGCCCGGCACCTCGGCTGCTCCTGGAGAATCTACTGCCACTGGTGTCTCGCCCGTCACCCCTGAAGAAACCGCTGCCACTGGTGTCTCGCCCGTCTCTCCTGAAGAGACCGCCACCGGCGTTTCTCCCGTCAGCCCCGAGGAGACCACTGCCACTGGTGTCTCCCCAGTTAGCCCCGAAGAGACTACCGGCGCGACCGGCGTCTCCCCCGTCACTCCTGAAGAGACCGCTGCCACCGGCGTTTCTCCCGTTACACCCGGCGAGACCACCGGCGCAACTGGCGTCTCCCCCGTCACTCCCGGAGAAACCACCGGTGTCTCTCCCGTTACCCCCGGCGAGACCACCGGCGCGACGGGTGTCTCCCCAGCCTTCACTGGCGCCGCCTCCTCCAACATGCAGCCCGCGGCTGGCTTCCTGGCGGCCGTCATGGGTGTCATGGCTCTCCTCTAAATTGGCTCAGTCCGGTATGTGTGATCTAACGATCAAGCTACACTTGATCGCGATGTCACGCATTAACTAAGATAACCCCATATTATCTCCGGTGTTACGGTACGGTACGGTCCCATTTAGAAAAATTTGGCTTTTACTGTTTGTCTATTATTTTCTTGATCTCGTTCCGTGATTTCCTCCTTTGGGCTCCTTGCTTGTCAAGTTCCTAACGCATACCAGCCATCCTTACGTTGGTCTGGAATGTTTCCAAGGGCTTTTGGTGAGGAGTCATGTATTTGGCTTTTGTGTCAGATAATGATGCTCTAATACATAATAATGCATAATTTGTACTTGTGGACAGAAGATCGAGATATATTTAGATAGACGTCGTCGTTCGTATTGCTCAGTGGGTCATGTGGTTGATGTCGTATCGGTCCCGGCAGGTTACGTTGCTCGGAATAGTAACAGTATGTAGCATGAGTCGTCGGTTGAGTAGTCAATGACACTTAGATGGATGGTCATGTGTCGTGATTTTCTCCTCACGTCCCTACGTACCCTTCTTCGCTTTTGGAATTAAGCCAATGGACAGGTCGAAAGTAATTCGCAACGTAGAACCTCTCATTCACTAGGAGGGGGCGAGCGGTTGACATTTTGTACTGCCGTGATACTATCAGTTTTACTATCTGTTTCTACCTTTATTTCTGCTATGTCTGGAGGATCTAGTATAACCATCTCATGATTGAAAATCTATCTTAATTGTATGGTATGATATAATATGATCTATGGGAAGAGAAGCCAAAGATGCACAGGATGTAAGATATAAGTAAAGGGAGGAAGAAACATGAAGATCGTGAGATATCATCGACGTAGCTTGGCTTTTTTGGTCAAACAGACATTGCAGAAGGAGAAAAATATCGTGATATGCAAGTTATATGATTAAGTGCCTACCGCTTACCCTCCAACTCCTGCTCGACCTCAGCCTTGACAATCTCGCGCACCTGCTCCCAGCCAGCACCGGGGCCGACGGCAGTGACGCGGCTTTCGCGGTCCTCAAGGCCAATGAACTCCTGGGGCAGGACCTCAGTGAAGTCGTAGCCGTCTTGGCCGCGGAGGGCCAGGTCGACGGCGCTAGCGAACTTGGCCGGGTGGGCCGTGGACAAGGAGATGTGGCTAACGCCAGAGTTACGCTCGATGGAGCGCAGGGATGCGGCGACACCAATGGCGGAGTGAGGGTCCAGGATGTAACCGCCCGTCTTGGAGCTCTTGGCGCTGCCAGGGCCCAGGTTGGACGGGAAGCAGGACTGGTAGGTGGAGCGGATCTGAGCGATGGTCTCGTCGTTGCTGACGCGCTCGCTCTCGAACTCGGCCTGGGCGGCCTGGAAAAGGGCAGGGGGCACGCTGAAGCCACCCTCGGTCTTGAGCTGGTTGAGCCAGTTGCTGACGTTGTCGCAAGCCTGCTTGCGACGCTCGTCGGCCGTGCTGGCCTCGCTGGTCTGGTAGGCCAGGAACCAGAGGAGACGCTCGAAGTTGCTGCTGACCAGGATGTCCATGGCAGGGCTGTGGGTCTCCTTGACGCCGGCACCCTTGCTGTCGCTCTTGCTGTAGGTACCGCCGGTGCGGAAGAAACGGTCCAGAATATCGTTCTCGTTGGTGGCAATGACGAGCTTCTCCGCGGGGAGACCCATGCGCTTGGCGAACCAACCGGCCAGGATGTCGCCGAAGTTGCCGGAGGGGACGACGAATCTCATCTTGTTGTTGTAGCCGGGGGTCTTGGTTAGGGCGAGGTAGGAGTAGAAGTAGTAGGTGATCTGGGCGAGGATACGGGCGAAGTTGATGCTGTTGATGGCGGCGAGGTTGTGGGTGGAGTTCATGTCGGGATCGGCGAACAGGGCCTTGACGAAGTCCTGGCAGTCATCGAAGGTACCCTCGACGGTGAGGTTGTGAACGTTGGCATCGAGGATGGTGGTCATTTGGGCCTGCTGGATGGGCGAAACCTTGCCCTTGGGGAACAGGATGAAGACGGAGACATCCTTCTTGCCACGGAGGCCGTAGATGGCAGCAGAGCCAGTGTCACCACTTGTCGCACCGACAACAGTCAGGTGGTGTCTGTCCTTGCCCTCCTTGCCCTGGTTCTTGCGCACCAGGAAGTACTCGAAGAGGTTTCCAAGACTGATAGAGATCGAAGTCAGCACCAGGTGTCCTTTCTCACATGCATGCGCAGTTTCCAGTAAACCTACTTTTGCAGGGCGACATCCTTGAAGGCAAAGGTCGGGCCGTGGAAGAGTTCGAGGAGGTAGAGGTTGCGCTTGGCGTCGAGTTCAACGATGGGGGTGCGTTCAGGGTGACGGAAGGTAGCATAGGAGCGCTTGATGATATCCTTCAGATCTTCACTGGGGATCTCGGACTCGGAGATGTAGAGGGACATGATACGGAAGGCCAGTTCCTCGAAGCTGAGATCGCGCCATTCCGACTCCCAGCCGGCGGGGAGGGTAGGGATCTCCTCGGGGATGAAGAGACCACCATCGGAGGCGAGACCCTTCAGGACGACCTCCTCGAAGGAAAGCTATTGTTGGAGATAGCCAGTTAGCAATTGACTCCGCTGGGAAGAGGATAGGATTTAAGGGCGACAAGATATAATCAGGGCGTGGGATATCAGATCACTTACGCCGTAGGAGCCACCCCGGGTGCTCAGAAATCTTTGAGAGAGAGTAGGCGACATTGTGAATAAAAATTAAGAAGGCAATGGTAAGTAAAGGACCAAAGGAGAGAAGGAGAAAGAGTGATAAAGATGTCTGAGTCAAAGAGGCAATTCGGAAAGATCCCCCGCGGCGAAGGCCGAGGGGAAAAATCCACTTTGGGTTTAGCGCCTCCGACTGCGGCGCCCCTCGCAACCACGTGCCCGCCACCTGCCTGTTTCGGTCAACGAAAATGGTATCATTTTAGTCTCTATCTCTATCTCTATCTATTTCTGTGCAACATCGCTGTCCTCTTCTCCAACTAAACTCCAACAACTCCATACATCGTAAATCATCACCATCATCATATCACTGCTCATTCACCAGCACATAACGGTACCGCGCCTTGCCCGCGTGCATATCCACAATGGCCTGATTGGCGTCCTTCATCGGGATCTCTTCAATCCAGGCCTTGACTCCCTTCTCAGCAACAAGCTGGAACATCTCACGGATCTCGTTGGGGCTGCCGATAAAGGAGCTGGTGGCCTTCAGGCGACGCTGCAGCTTGCCGACAGGGGCCAGGAGAACACCGTCATCAGGAAGTCCGACCTGGACCAGGGCACCGCCCGTCGCAAGCAGGCCCAGGTACTCGGTCATGGGCATCTATATCCCCATTAGTACCCGAAACCCACAAATTCAAGCGTATAATGGGGTAAACATACCTTGGTCGAGGAAACAGTGCAGACAATCAGATCCAGAGACCGGGCATACTTGGTAGCCCAGTCCGGCTCATCATCCGTAGCAACATAGAGATCGGCACCCATAGCCAGCGCATCATTGGCCTTGCCAGTCTTGCGGGAGATAGCAACCACCTTATCAGCACCCATGGCCTTGGCCAAAAGCACACCGAAGTGGCCCAATCCACCAACACCAATGATACCCACGCGCTTGCCGGGACCACAGTTGTGGTGCTTCAAGGGACTGAATAGGGTGACACCACCACACAGCATAGGGGCGGCCTGCGCCGAAGGGATGCTGTCGGGGATCTTAATAACAAAGTGAGACGGGGTGCGGTTGTACAGAGCATATCCACCGTAAGACTTGCCGCCATTCAGGTGAACATTGTTGTAGGTACCGACGATCTTGTGGGCGCAGTACTGCTCATCACCCATCGCACATTCGGGGCAGTCTCCCAGACGACCAAGGCAGGAGTCGCTCTGCGCGCCGACACCCACGCGGTCACCGACCTTGATGCCGCCGACAGCCTTGGACCCAACACGCACGGCAATGCCGACGATTTCGTGGCCCACGCAGCAGGGGTACAAGGTAGGTCTCTGCTGAGGTTAGCATCTAAATTCTCCAACTTTCTACAAAATCAAACATGGTGATGGATGACTTACCCAGCCGCTGCGAAGAGTGTGCAAATCGGAACCGCAGATACCGCAGTGAGTGATCTTAATGTCAACATCGGTTTCCTCCCACGGCTTGGGCTCAAACTCCTGCCAGACCATCTTTCCGTCGGCGGAGTCCTTGTCGAGACCCATCCATCCTTCAAACTTGTAATCTTGAGCCATTGTGAATGATTGAATGGGCAGAGGTATGTCTAGGTTTTGGAGTATGACAGGTGCAACTAAGTGAAGGGATAGGAGACAACCCCAAATCTTTATAATTTATACGCCAGGAACCGCTACAGAGGGGCAACTGCTATTCCATGGATCATTCATCGGTTGGATCGGCAGATGGCCCACTTTTGGCCAGAGACAGAATAGCCAAGAAGGGAGAAGAAGAGGCGGAAAGGGCACGGGTTATTGCGGATATCCCATCGATGGCCTATTAACCCACTGAGAAGAAGTACTTGTGGTCTAGATGGAGTCTTTCCGATAGACATCTGGCGGAGTCTTACCTCGACCCGTCTGCTTGTTTTGCAGCATTATTAATGCTTCTTAACCCAATTTTACAACATGTAGACTTTGCAGCTCTACTTTATTATACGGGAACAACATTCCAAATATTACTCTGAGCAATTCTAGACTGAATTGAGTTTATAATTGAAACTAAAGAATCTGTGTTAGTTTTCTCCAATTTCTCCAAATCTTCCTTCTCCAAAGCCGGACAATGAGACTAATAAAGTGGACGGACAAAGCCCCCCCACTGAGTAATGAAAAATCAAAAGAAACCAAAGTGGAAAAACCTCCCTAACAGCCTTAAGGTCCTTAATTGATTAATTCTATTATCTCCAATACATATGTCTTAAATTCTCATAATACCCAGTAACATAAATGACATGTGTGGTGTGATCTAACTCATACGGCCCGATTTGAAGAAACGACGTGGGAAAGAAACCTTGCAGGAATCGGATCTTATCGGGAAACTCACTCTCTAATCAAAGCAATCAGCCCCGTTCCGAACAAGGGTCCGATTCGGTAGGTATCTTTTATCTTTTGCCAGATCCAGATTATAGATAGCGATAACTTTCCTACTTTATTGTGCTGTCTGTCTGTCTGTCTGTCTGTCTGTCTGCCTCGCTACATACATTATTTCCGGACTGGTATTTTTATTCCAGTCTTATTATTGATCAGAAAATATCAGGACAATTCGCTACACTGAGATGAATTATCGTGAGGGTAGGTACATTTCGGTAATATTCTCGGAATTATTCGGTGACACGGTACTATAGTTGACCGCTACTAAATACTGTCTATAATTATCGGTCATATTGGGGTGGTATGGCGTTATCTATACTACTACTTTTTAAGTAGCCCATGTGTTGCATTGAGCGTTGCATAGTATCCTGGACGTACTAATACAGGGGGTGAGCTGCAGCTTCTGCTGTGCATATTTCTGTTTATTATTTACACTAGTTAACTAATATTGGAGGTTCATGTCAATTGAAAAACATTCAATTATATCAATGGACATTTTCAAAAAGCTGCATTTATACTCGGGTCCGCAGAAAATCCAAGTGAAGAAGTAATAGATTGATAGAATTAAACACATCCCGAAAATTAAGAGAAAAAAAATTAAGAAAAAGAAAAAAAGGCTGAAGTATTATACTACCCTCCCTAAGCCATCCCCTCCACCCCCATAACCGTATCAACATCTTTATCCCCCCTCCCACTTACACACAACACAACATGACCACCCACTCCAACTTCTCTCGCCACATCCACCACCTTGGCAATCGCATGCGCCGTCTCCAACGCCGGCAAAATCCCTTCCAACCGACACAACAACCTCAGCCCCTCCAGCGCCTCGTCATCCGTCGCCGAGATGAACCTCGCTCTGCCCACCTCCTTCCAATGCGCCAGTTCCGGTCCAACCCCAGGATAATCCAGCCCCGCGGACACGGAATGCGTACCGGAGATCTGCCCATGTTCGTTCTGAAGTACGTATGTCCGCACTCCATGGAACACGCCTACCGAGCCAGACCCAGAGGATAAGGTAGCACAGTGGTGTTCCGGGTCGGTGGTACCATCGCCGCCGGCTTCCACGCCGATCAACTGGACACTGGGGTCTTCAGAGAAAGGGTAGAACATGCCGACGGCGTTAGAGCCGCCGCCTACACAGGCGACCACTGCATCAGGGAGACGATTGATTTGCTGCGCCAGCTGGGTTTTAGTTTCCTGGCCGATGATGGATTGGAAGGTGCGGACGATTGTGGGGAAGGGGTGTGGACCGATGGCTGAGCCGATGATGTAGTGGGTGGTGTTAAGGCGCGTAATCCACGCGCGAAAGGCTTCGTTGACGGCGTCGCGGAGTGTGCGGGACCCGGATTCTACGGGGATGACGGTGGCGCCGAGGAGGCGCATCCGGAAGACGTTGAGGGCCTGGCGGCGGACGTCTTCGGAGCCCATGTATACGGTGCATTTCATGCCGAATTTGGCGCATACGGTGGCGGTTGCTACGCCGTGTTGGCCGGCTCCTGTTTCGGCGATGATCTCGGTCTTGCCGAGTCGGCGGGCGAGGAGGATCTGGCCGAGGGCGTTGTTGATTTTGTGTGAGCCGGTGTGGTTGAGGTCTTCGCGCTTTAGCCAGATGGTGGCGCCTCCGGCGTGGGAGGTGAGGCGTGGGGCTTGGTGTAGGGATGAGGGCCGTCCGATGTAGGGGTAGTAGGAACGGTATTCAGCCCAGAAGGTTGGATCGTCGATGGCGGTGTTGAAGCCGGCTTCTAGTTCGTTGAGACATGTCGTTAGGGCTTCTGGTACGTATTGGCCGCCGAAGGTGCCGAAGCGGCCGGGCTTGGACGCTTCAGTTGACTGCTCTGAGACAGGGAGGTTTGATGATGACGAGGATGAGTGAGGGTTCTCCGGGACAGAGTGAGGTTCAGTTGGCTTGACGGTCCGACATGTAATCTGAGAGCAGTAGTCTTGGATGATAGCTGCACCCTGGGCTGCAGGGGCGTTTGCCAGCTGGGTGATTATCTCACTGCCAATGACGGCGCCGTCTGCGACAGAGGTGACGCCGAGGAACTGTTCACGGTTGCTGACGCCGAAGCCAACGGCCACCGGTACTCCGCCGGAAAGATGCTTCACGCGCTTCATTAGTTCCGGGAGATCGTAACTCAGAGTGCCAGTGACGCCAGTGACACCCATTCTGGACACAAGATATATAAAGGAATCGGCAATCCCGCAGAGAGTTTTCATGCGGTCCTCTGTGGTCGACGGGGCTATCAATGGGACGTAGGAAAGACTGCTCAAAGGATACGTGTCAGTGGATGGTCAAGCAATGTCCTGTTGCCTCAACAATTGGTATTAGAAAGGTAACTAACCCAGCATCTCTACACTGGTTCCGGAATCGAACAGCTTCCTCGGGCGGTAGATCGACAATGATGAAGCCATCCACCCCCGCTGTCCTGCTCGCAGCGAGGAGCTCGGATTCCCCATAACGCATAATCGGGTTATAGTAACCCATGAAGAGAACGGGGACGTGCAGACCTCTTTGACGGGCATCCTTAACCATTTGCAACATAGAGGATATGGTGACACCGTTATCGAGCGCCTTAAGGTTTGACATCTGAATGGTAGGGCCGTCGGCAATAGGATCCGTGAAAGGGAGACCGAGTTCAATGACATCTACCACATCATTAGCACACCAGCGGACGTTGTCACTTATACAAGCTAGGAAGTATTGCATACCTGCTCCTCCAGCCTGCATTGCAAGCATAATGTCTGGAGTCTCTGCTGCCGTAGGGAAGCCAGCCGTGACATAAGTCACAAGGGCTGGCCGGCCCTCCTGCGCACACCGGGCGAAAGTTTTCCTGAGTTGATCCATTGCACTGTAATAGAAGGAGTTCAATGAATTTTAGTCGGAGAAAAGCGATGAGAGCCATGAGAATGGCTTGACTATTTATAGTGGTTTACAAACTGCCGGAAGTCTGGGCAGGATGAGCAGCCGTGACTCACCCGGACAAGGGAGGGTTTTGGTTCCGACCAACTAGCATTGCTGGCCCCCCGCTAGAATGGTTAAATGCAAAGTCAGCAAGTCCCCTGAAGTTGGGAAAAGTTTCCTGAATGCGTTGACCGGGAAAGAAGTGTGCAATTAAGTAAGGGATACGTAGAATAGATCAATGCTCGTCAAGTCCAATGAGATGGATATACAGGTGGGCGGAAACACCCAGAATGGCAAACAGGAGAAAAGCAGAGAGACAAGAGTAGTATCAAGATAGACCCCAAGCTAGAGTAACGAAAAATAGATCTATATTCGGCATGCATCAACAGAATTATGTGTGCTTTTGGCTCAACCTTCCCGCACCTGCGATTCAGCTATACGAAATCGTGCGCCAACATACAGACATGGCTCATTGCGCTCAGAATAACGACAGAATATCCTCGTTTGTCTTCTTTGGTTGGCTTCCTCCAGGAGGTGGTGAAGCCATGCCACCTCCAGACAGGTCCAGCCCCTCAAAGCCATTCATCAAGTCTGCACCAGCACCGCCACTGGGAGCACCGCTCCCGCTGGCTGGGGCGGCGGCGGTGGCGGCGCCATCGCCAAACACTCCGAGCAGGTCGTCCAGGTTGTTGCTTCCAGAAGGTGCCCCTGCGGCCGGAGACTCCACCCGCACGGGCGTTCCAGCAAGGCCTTCGAGACCTGACATCCCAGCGCCCGGTTCTTTCTGAGCAGATGCCGGCGCGGTGCCATCGAAGTCGATATCCAACAAGTTCTCGACGTTGCTCTGGGCTTGCGGAGGCGGAGCACTGCCAGTAACAGCTGCTGCTGCCGCCGCTGCCGCCAACGGATTCTCCCGAGCGTTTTGGATTTGTTCCCTAGGATTTTCATTAGCTTGGATTCCGAGTAACCAGCTTTGCAAAGCGAGTGTAAAACATACTCGATGGCAGCTCTTTGTACGGCATCTGCACCGAATCTGCCCTGTCCAACGAATTGCTCCGGAGGCTTGTGGTAGACAGATGCGAGGGTGGAGAGTTCGCTCAGTAGCTGATCGAGGAGATTCGGGGGAAGAGAGTGGATTGTGGTGACGATCGGCGGTTTGTCAGACAGTACGATGTTCTTCGTAGCATTGGGGTCGCTCGTGTTGGACAGCAAACGCCAATACACGTAAGCCCTATCGCGGACATCGGGGTTGTCATTCTCAGCCGTGGCCGCCTGCAGCACTTTCTGGACAAGCCCCTGAGCCTTCTCGGGCCGCTTGAGGAAGAGCTTGACGACAGCGGTCAAGATCTGCAGCTGGGTCTGCACAAAGGATCAGCAATTGGTCGAGAGACTTGGCGAGGAAAATAAACGAACCTGAGAGAACTCCTCATTGAAGCCTTCCACGAAACCAGCAAGAATGTCACCCGCGTTGCTGATCTTCTCCGCATACTGACCAACAATCCAGATGAGCGCAGCGCGCGCATTAGGTTCATCCAGTTCATCGATGCACTTGCAGAGAGTGGGAATGATTCCTTCGTAGCCGGGATATTTGCGGAAGATGTCCTTGATGACCACGATCGCCTCTTGCACCACATAATTGACCTTGGTGTTAATGAGGTCCAGCAGGGTGTTGACACACTTTTCGCTGGCGCTCTCGATCTTGATGGCGACCTGACCGATAGCTTTGACGGCACGACGCACAAAGTCCATGTCCACCTCCAGCGCGTACTCCTTCAGCTCTGCCAGGAGCTGGTCGACGTTGCGGTCGTTGGCTATGCGGACCATAATCTCCAGCTTCTGGAACTTAACATAAGGTGGATCATTGTACTTGCAGAAGAAGACCCGCAGTTCCTTGTTCAGGATATCAGGCTGCTTCTGCAACAACAGATCAATGTTCCGTAAAGCAACATACTGGACTTCGGGCGCCGACGACACCAGCGTTACTGAACCATAATACATCAGCAAGTCAGTCGGTCAGCAGAATCTATGGTTATCTTACCAAGTGGGGGAGCCATCTTCTTCAGGTAATTCTTCGCCAGCTCATAGTTGACGTTCCTCATATGGAGGAATACCACTTTAACGGCCGCCAGGACAACACTAGGATTGGCATGTTGGAATTGGGGAGCAACCCTTTCGCAAATGTGTTCAGATTCAGTCACTTCATTGGTTCTGTACTCGGCCAGAGTAGTCAAAATCGTGACTCGACCCCATTCCGTGCACTCGTTCAAGGCCATGAGAAGTTTGCGCAGAGTGTTGGAGGTCACCTTGAGGGCTTGCGTTTCAGGGGCAGCATGGTAGATTTCGGACAGTGCGGTGACGGAGTTGGCGACAACCATGGGGTTAGGATCACCAATCATCTCTTGCAGCATCTCCAGGAAGCCGTTTTCCAGGCACATAGCGGGGTTCAGGTCGAAGAGCTTCGCTACACAGATCGCGGCGGTCTTCCGGACATATGGCGACTCATCGCGAAGCGTCTTGCGGAGGGGCTCCTCCATATAATCCACCATCTTGTCCACGCGGATACATCCCATTGTTCGGATCGCGAGAGCCCTGATGAGGGGGTTCGGGTCTTCGGAGTCTTGTACGAAGGTGTTGACGGCGAGAATGCAAAGGTCCGGGTGAGATTTGGCGTAGTTCCTGGTACGTAGGGAGTGTTTAGTCAAGATCACTTGGACAACCAAAGAGCGAACACGTACATGAGATAGAGGTATACTAGTTTCTTCTGCTCGAGATCGCTGGTCGCAATGTTCTTGAGGACATCCGGAAACAGAGCGGAAACGTCCTTGCCCAACGTCATGGCCATGATGGTCTTCTGAATGGACTCCTTCCTATGCGCGCATCAGAGAATGTGTCACGGGCTATCGGCGGTTCCCATAGGCAGATTCATGTCGACGTACCGTTCATATGCATATTGAGATCTGTCGAGAGGTCAGCAAGATGTCGGTCACCGATCGGGCACGGGGCACACCATACACAAGACCAGCTCGCAATTCGAAGGTCTCTCCTTTTCTGGGGACCGCAAAGGCCCCCCTAATCTTACTCATAGCCATGCTGAGCGAAACCGGGCTTCAGCGACGACGGGGTCGCGCCTCCGCAAAACCAGATGGGATCGGAAGTGGAAATGCAGGAGACTGCGGGGAATTAATGCGAGGCGGCGAGAGCTTCAGGGAGAACCGGACACGGCAGCGATCCGGCAGAGGATGGTTGGACGAGTGAAAGGAAATAAGACAAGGTTAAAGGAAGAGAAGACAGAAAGTATAGAAAAAGACCCTAAGGAGGGAAGAGGGGGGTTGATGGGGGGGAGCAAGAGGGCCGGGCAGGAAGTGGAAGGAGGACAGATACAATTAGGGAGTCGAGCGAGCGAGTGTCTGGACCCAACACTAACTTAACCTGAGCCGCTCTCTTTCTTCCCCGGTCTGGCTTCCCCGTCACCACCACCACCACCACCGCCGCCGCCTTCCGTCTTTCTTTCTTTCCTTCTCCTTTCAAACAGCATTACTTGCCACCAGAGCTATGGTATGTAACTTGAAATTACCCCCTCAACTGCTACCACTCACATGTCTATCCTAGGCCAATCTACCCAATCTCCGACGCCTGTTTGTCGAGGCTAGAACAGAGGCGGAAGAGAACGAGTACTCCAGAACAGCGGTAAGCTCTCGCTAGCTAGCTATCGCTTTATGGTGATCCCAATTCTGACCGACATGCTATGCAGTTCTATAACCTCGTCCTCTTCATCTCTTCCGTCGCCGTTTTCAGCCTGGTGGCTCAACGTATGGGCGGAACAAAGACAGGGAAATAAGGCGTGATGTGCCAACATGGACTATTCAATTATCTCGAGTGTCATTACGACCCACAGCCTGCGCCAGGCAGATACTGCGACAGCTAAATCATGCAGCAACCCGCACATTGATCGTCCCACCATCTCAGTCCGTTTCCTCTCCCTCGCTCTCTAAAAAGGCCAGACTCTTCCGCCCGCGATTCAGCCGCCGCTTCGGTCGACTATCATCACTGTTCTCGCTGCCGCTTTCTTTACCCCATCGCTTGGCTCCTTCTTGGACCATCTCCAGATCAGCTTTGAGTTCACGCTCCTCGCGGATACGATTAGCCTTCTCAACTGAGTAGCGCCCCTCCATGCCTGCGTCCTTCAGCATTCCCTTGAGGTGATTGATCTTCGCTTTGGACGTATCGTAGGGAGCCAGCTCCCGTGCCCACATCTTGCGGATCCCGCACTTCAAAAGCCAGCCTTGCAACCGCTTGATTTCCGCTTGGTTTGGGTCTATATCCGCATCCTTTCCCTTTGCCGTTGTCTGTTTCCTGCCCTTGCGCGGGGGTGCCTCGGCACTTTTCTGTCGCTTGCGGTTCGGCTTCGGTTTAGGCTCCTCGTCTAGGACAACTGAAAGTTCGCTCTCAGAGTCGTCTTTTGGCGTTTCTTCGGCTTTCTCTGGCTTTGCCCCTTCTTCCTCGTCCGAATCTTGAACGTAGTCTTCAGAAGTTTTCGGTGATTGCTGCTTCTTTAATGTTGCTTTGGTCTGTTTCTTCGGGACCTTTTCTACCTTGTCTTCATCCTCGTCTGGTGATCCGTTGGCTGCATCTCCGCCATCGGATTCCGAAGCGCTTTTCTTGTGACGCTTGCGCGATGTCGATGGCTTCTCTGGTCTCGCTCGTTTGGTAGGCTTTGCGTCTTCGGAGGCAGATGAAGCGGCCTCTTCCTCGTCATCCGGCACAGGCTCCTGGGTAGCTTTGTCTTCCTCCTCCTGTATACAACAGCAAGTCAGTAGATGATCTTCACAAACGTTATACACTCTTAGCCATCGCACGCTATGACAAATAGAACCCGCAAACTCACCACCTGATCCTTGATAATCTGCTCACTCCTTGTCTTCCAATCCCCCTGAGTCTTGTAAAAGCCCTCCTCCAACTGGAGCTCCTTCTCCGCAGCTAGCCGCACCCGCTTCACCGTCAATTCCTCCATCTTGCCCGACTTGTACACCTGCGTAACCGCATCACGCAGTGCCTTCTCCAAGACATCATCGGCGGGTCGACCAGACGCAGATCCAGCTTCCGACTCGGGCTCCGAACTTGAAAGGGCGTATCGTGGCGCCATTGCGCTTGTATAACTGTATGGGGGTAGATGGCACTGCGTTGCGATAACCTCAACTGTCGCGTGGTACCTAGCAGGAGGGGACACGGCGCTAGTTAGCTAGCTAGCTAGTTCGATAAAGTTACCGATCGCGTTCTGGCAGCAACTTCTGATAATCTCGTCAGGCACAGAAGCTTATTTTAGCAGGAGTAGTAATCAAGCCAGAAACGCGTGTTGACGCGAAATATAACAAGCTAATTAGTTGATCAACCAGAGTGTACGGATCCACGAAGCTTGGACGTCCCCATCATATTCCATTTGCTCCAGTCAAGGCACAGGCGGAGCAGCGGAGATGACTCGGCTGACAAAGCAGGCACATGGCAATTCTAGAAGCCGGAGGGATTCGACGGAGACATTCTTTTGTTGCATTACCAATCAAGCACTATCAATTCCCCAGAAGTTGTCTCTTAAGCTCTGTCGCGGATATTGCTCCTTCGTGTCTCTGCCCTGCTCGGATACCAGACCCTACAGTGTACATACTACCTTGCCGAATTGACTATTTCTGCGCTGCGCTGCGTCCTACTTCTTCTCCGCATCGCATCCGAATACCTTCTTCATCATCCTCCCCCCAGCATAAATCACCAACCTATATAACCCACAATGGCAGACACAACACCACCATCAGACACACAAAAACACCTTTTCATCCACCAACAACAGCAACAACCTGCTACGCCTTCATCCTCCACCCAACAACAAGCCCCAGCGCCAGCAACAACAAAAGATGACTCCGTCCCCGCAGGCATGACCAAACTCCCCAACGGAGTCATCCTCGACAAGGACGGAAAGCCGTACGCCTTCCCCCATTCCCTCCTATTCCCCACAAACCCTCCTACTAACAAAAACATCCCATGAATAGATGCCGCCTCTGCACCTCCGCCGCCTCCTGGCGCGCCCTGACCAAACAAGCCAAATCAACCCCCACCACAACCAGCAGCACCAGCAGCACCACCATCCCAAAAGCCCTCACCACCACCCCCGGCTACACAGACTGCCCACCGGACTCAGAAGCCCTCGGCCGCTCCACCTGGACCTTCCTGCACTCATTGACAGCGTCGTACCCGGCGCAAGCGTCCAGCGAACAACAGTCCGAGATGCGCCAGTTCCTGGGGATATTCTCGAAGTTGTATCCGTGCTGGGTGTGTGCGGAGGACTTCCGGACGTGGATGGCGGAGCCGAGTGGGGAGAATCAGCCCAGGTTGGGCGGACGGAAGGAGTTCGGGGATTGGATGTGTAGGGCGCATAATGAGGTGAATCGCAAATTGGGGAAGAGTGAGTTTGATTGTAGGTTTTGGGAGGAGAGGTGGAGGAAGGGGTGGGGGGATGGGAGGTGTGAGTGATTTTTATTCAATCTCGTGTTGGGGATGGGGGAGTGTGTATGATTAGATTATAGATATAGACTACTGCTGCTGCTGCTACAATTGGTTATGGGGATGGGAAGGGATGAGTGGGGAGTTTACATTGTGTACTATACCAACTATTGGGTGACGGATATCTCTACTCTGCATCTGATCATGATATGATATGATATGATAATACTATCTCACCTCTTTATCTGTACAAGAACAGTCTCGCAAAAAGAATAGAAGAAGAAAAAGAAATGAAAAAGAAGTATATCAAACAATAACAATAACAATAAATAGATGAATGAATATACTAACGTCGCTGGAATTATGAATTTCACACATCGGGACCATCCAAAGCAGGAGAGCTTCCTCCAGCCATGGGCGCCAACATTTCCTCTCCAACCAGGATCCATCCTCCTTTTTCCCCCACCAGAGAAAGCCCATTTCTATCATGTTTGCACATCGAGACGGGGAATTACAAGCGTGAAGAAAGAAAAAGGAAAGCCGTCACATCTCGTCATCATCCTCAGTACTGACCCGGGACGAACAACCGCAGCCCGCTGGCCGGCGCGCCGATCTCCGTCACCTGCGAGATCCGGCACACGGTGCCCTTGTACTGCTCGTGGTACTTGGCGCCCGTGAACGGGTCCGACACGCTCGGTGAGCCGCCGTAGATCGGTGTGAACGAGGCAGCACAAATATCGAATTCGGCAAATTGGTCGAATTCGATGTCGATCTTGTCTTGCGGGCTGCGCTCGCATTGCAGCTTGATCTTCTTGGCCTATTTCATGTGTTAGCATCTCGGATCATCAACGGGGAAGGCATGTATTGCTTACCTGTTCCAGAAGCTTGGGCGAGCCACCGTTAGCCAGCATGCGGTTGGCAAAGCTGAGGGCCGAAGAGTAGTTCTTGTTGGCAAAGGCCAGCTTCATGGCAGCCATAAGTGCCAATTGCCGGTGTGCAACCTCCAGCTTGGGGATCGTGAAGTAAGCAGAAAGCTCGAGGCTTCGCTTGAGGTTGTCGGGAGTGTCAGTGGGGATGGAACGGCGCTCCAGTTCAATAGACATGGCCAGGATGTATTCCCGAGCAGTCTCGATGATCTTCTTGGCCTGCTCCACCTCCGCCTCGGACGAGACAGTGTTGACCAGAACGGAGTTTAGGATGTTGCGGAAGATCCGCACGCCATCTTCCAGCTTGTTGGCCCGCATGGCGGCGTAACCCTCCTGCAGATCCACGTTGGCGATCGTCTCCAGGTCCTTCGGGATGATAGGCAGGACCTTGCGGCTATCCGTCTCATCGACAGTGCGGCGCACATAGTTGACCAACGGGGGCAGGCCAGTGGTCGCTGGAAGGAAAGTCTTGGAGGCCTTGTACACCTCCAAGAACCGCGGCTTGAGAGGAGCAAAGTTGACCGCTCCGACTTGACGGTTAAGCAGTTGCATAGCAGTCTCGAAGGAGCCAGCAGCGACATGGTCGGCTGCTAGAGGGGAGTTGCGCGCCCACAGGTCGGCCTCGGTGCTGCCTGCACCGGCCTCTGCGCTGTCCACGTTCACAAAGTCAACGTCCTCCTCGACATTGATCTCGTCTCCCATGTCCCAACCAGCAACGTCTTCTTCCTCATCCTCGAGGGTGTCGCGTGCAGTGATAGCCTCGTCCTCCTCCTCGGGCTCAAACTCGATCGCCGCAGCCTCCTCGTCGCCGGCGCCAACCTCTCCAAGAAGGGCCTTCTCGAATGAGGAATGACCAGCAGCCTTGACAGGCCAGTTGGACTTGAAGGTGGGGACAATTGGGTGGGGGACCCGTGCAGGCTCCTCGATGGAGGGGAGGGTGATCTGGTCCTCGGTAAGCCCGCAAGCGTCGAGGATCGACTCAGCCTCTTCCGTCAGTCCATGAGACTTGGCAGTGAGGTATGCGAGGGGATCTTTGACTGATTAGCGAAACCCGTTATAACTGCTAGTGTTTGACTTACATTGGTCAACTTCCTTGAACATCTGAATCCGGTCTTCAACGTCGCCACGGTAGATCGCATTCTGGAAGCGCGAGGTGAAATCGCCACGGTGTTCGGCAATCTTGGCCATTCTTGACAGCTTCTCCTGGTCACCAGTGGAGAGGTACAGGAAAGACAGCTTGTCAAAGTTCCTTTGCTTCTGGTAGGCCATCTCAACCGTCTGGTGGTTACCATGAGCCAAAGCCTCAGCTCCGAGTCTGCTCCACAATTTGGGACGGTCGAGTTCCCTAGCCATCTCAATAGCCACCTCCAGGTTGCCGCACTCCAGCGCGAGCTCGAAGCGGGTCTGGGGGTCTTGTACGAACTGCAGCGCGATCTCAGGGTAACCCTTCTTCTGCAGGTAGGAGATGATACTTTGACCGACCAAGCTGGAAGTCTTGATGATCTGAAGCATTTCATCGTAGTTCCTCTTGACAAGGGCAAGCTTGAAACGGTACTCGGTAGGGTCAATCTCCAGAACGCGAGGCTTGGCATTACGATCCAGACAGTAGACATTGCGACCCTTGACCTTGACGAGGTAGACCGTCTGGTCCAGAGTGCGAATGATACCGTTGTCACTGCGAAGTTGTCAGTATGTAAAGCATTCACCACTTTTAAGGAGACATACCCGTTCAGAAGGGAGTATTTAACGTGGTTCAAGGTGGAGTAGAGAAGGACGCCAGCGTCATCCCAGGCTGCGCTCTTGATCCGGATCGTTTCGTGCAAGCTGCTCACCTGCTCAAGGGACTTGGTCACAATAGTGACATTGTGCTTGCTGAGCAGAGCAGCGTAAAGGCCGTCGTTGGACCAGACAACATACTTGACACCGCTCACAGCCAGCTCCGCCAGTTGCTTCTTCTGCTGGATGTCGAAGAGAACAACGTTGGTGGGCGTGATGAAGAGCAGACATCCAGTACCGCCAAAGTAGATGTCAGTGGTGCCAGCCGGGGGCTTGATCGATTTCGTGGTCGAGTTGCTCAGATCCTTGATGTCCACCTGTTGGTTGCCCTGGCTGAAGACGGCGAATCGGTTGCGGGCAACAAAGACAGCAGAAGAGCCCTGACCACGCTTGACATCCGTAGGCTCAACGGCACCAGTGGCATCGCGCGGGAGGTGAATCAGTTCGTACACGCCACTATCGGTAGGAGAGGTAACCAGGATGGCACGTTCAGCGGGGTTGTACGAGAGGGTGCGAGGCGGCACCCAAGGGGATCCGAGCTTGCGCAACGACAGCATAGGAGGGGTCTCGACGTTCTTGGCGAAGTCATAGGACTTGACGTGCTTTTCCTTTGTGATGTAGAAGAGCTGGTTCTGGTAGACGGCCGAGGCAGGGCGCTCACGCTCCAACTTGAACACCATGACACCGGTGTCGTGACCAGCAGCGAACAAGTTGATCTCCGGGTGAGCAGCAATAACCCAGAAGCGGTCCAAATCGCGCTTGAACGACTGGACGGATGTGCGCTTGTTCAGATCCCAGCACCGAATAGTCTTGTCCTCACCAACGGAAAGGATCAGGTCCTGGTGTGGGTGGAACAGACAAGCAGAGGCATTCTGGAAATGTCCACGGCAAGTGTCAACCTCCCATGCCTTTGTGTCTATACATCCGTGTCAGCCTGAAATCCATATCTCCATAACAAGTATCTTGACGTACCACTCATCCTCCACAGCTTGATGAGACGATCGTCACCCGCGGAGACGATCAGGGGCAGGGTTGGGTGGAAAGACACCCAGTTGACACCCCGGTCGTGACCCTCCAGAACGAACTTCACCACCGCATCAGTGTTTCCGAACATATCTGCCTGGGCGGGATTGGCGCGGGCCATCTGGTCTTCGAAGGACATGGACGTCGGGGCCGAGTGCTTCTTCCGCAAACCCGAAATATCCCAGATGCGAACCGACTGGTCCAAGGAGGCGGAGGCGATGAGGTCTTCGGTAGGATGGAACTGCGCGCACATTACATAGTGGTTGTGGCCGGTCATGGTGCAGACTGTGAAGCCATTGTCAGCACCCCTCCGGACAGGTGGCCAGATTCCGACTTACTCAAGGAGCGGTTCTGCCAGTTCCAGATTCTGATGGTCTGATCGTCCGAGCACGAAAGGATCCATGGCAGCTCATGATGGAAGAATACCGTCCGTACGTAGTCCAGATGGCCATTCAGTGTGAACATGCAACGACGAGTCTGGTAGTTCCAGACCTTGATCTTGTAGTCGTCACCTCCGGAGACGAAGAGGGGCTGTGTCGGGTGGAAGTCAATGCCACGAACGGGGCCATCATGTTCTTCGAAGCGATCAATGAGAGTTCCCATGCGGTAATCCCATAATTGGATGGTGGATGAATGAAGGGATACTAGGATCCATGGCCTGTTCGAGGGTCAGCCGAACTCGTTTGCGACGCGTTGAACAGGACAATTGTCCACTGACCGCTTGGGATGGAAGGCAATTCCCTTTGCGCGGGAGGATTTGGATTCAAACTATCAAATAGGATGAAGATTAGTTCCTGTTCCTGAAAGCAGCAGCAGCTCCGCGGCGATAAAGGGGGAGCTGGCAATGGGGGAGGGGATAGCGGACCTTGGTGAGCATGTTTGGGGAGGACTGCATGATGAAGGAGGGTTGGCCGGAGCCGCACCATAGAGAAGCAAGCTCCGCACTCAGGTATTAAGAGAGGTCAAAAAGGCGACCACCGCATCCACAACAACGGCGGGAGAGAATGGGCAAAGGGGGGAAGACGGGGGTAGTTCGGAGTGTCTGGACTCAGTCACTCTGGGCAGCTGGTGGTTCCGTCTTGGATGGCGGTAAACGTGGACTTATTGTGTCGCAGCCAATAAGCGAGTCCCGCGGGCCAATGATGGGCCCGGCGGTGAGCAGCTGCCAGGCACTTCTTTTAGGCTCTCTCTTACATTCTGGGGCAGACATTACACTGATCTAATTTACTTGGGGGACTTAGTCAAAGCTGCAGTTCTGCCTCCTTCACTCCGGTTCGAGTGGAGTTCGGCGGAGGTTATTCGAGTGTGATCTCACTCTCCCCCTTCTCGATGCTTCTTCGGGATCTCCCCCGTCGGGTCCATCTCTCCTCTGGGCCCCTCAGGATAGTACCATCCGACATGATTTCTCTTATCTGGGCCATTTCTGTCTGTTACAACAAGCGGTTGAAGCCGTGGTTGTGAAATTTCCATCTGTCTCATATGTTCATACATCTAAATCAATGGAAAAGCGTCATCGGGTGACTTTGTTCGCTATTGAATTATCATCGTTTCCGTTTCGCAACGCATGCGCGGTTTGCGTCACGCTCTACAGAGCAGCAGCTAACCTTCAGAAGCGCGATTTCGTCCATACAAGATTCGCTCTTTTGGACTTTGGCTGACTCAGGATGACGGAAATTCTTGAAAGTGAAAGCCCCCCTACGTTTCAACCGCACGATGGATCAAGAGCTTTTACATCTCAACCATGCAACACGCAAGGCGATCCGGGAATCTCGTCTGGAGCAGATACAGTTCCTTTGGAAGGTAATTCACCAACCATTCACAAACATGAGGCGAATGCGGATGTAGTCCTACCGTATTCTATTGAGGAGCCAGACGATGAGCCTGCTGCGGCTGCAGGACAGACCACAGACAAACCGGCGATACGTTTACTTGTTGGAGACAACTCAGAGATCTGGCAGGGAGAGCTGGTGGACTCGATGGAGGGGCTCCAGTGCGACTCAGACCAAAGCGCTAGCCGGACGAGAGGGAAGAAAAGAAAGCCTTCCGCGACAGCACCAGGTTCATCTCGACCATTCCGACAGTCATCTTCCGACTCTATACCCAATGCTCAGCGTGACGAGTCCAATGAGGGTCCCAAGAGGAGGCGCCGAAAAGGCAGATGCGCGAGGGACCATTTGTCGCCGGGGATGATCTGGCAGCACGATAGCAGCGAAACCACCTCGTCGGGGGGCTACAGTTCAAGGTCTCCGTCAACAGATGACAGTGCAACCCAGCCTTCCAGTCACACTGATGCCGATGCAATGGACCTAGATGAATGAGCGATATTATTGCGGGAGATTGACACTGTCGCTGATCCTTTCGTCCCAATTCTCCGAATCTATATGCGACACGTGACGTAGTTGACGCGGCGCTAGCCAGAACGGGCTGGACCCTGTATGACGTCACGCGGTTCTCATCGCCATTTCCGGCGAATCTCAACGACTTCCATTGGCGACCACCAGTCGATTGTTCATGCCCCTCACCCATTCATCTCTGCTCGTGGTCCCTGTGTGCATACCTTTTCAATTGGCCTATTGAGAACTCATAAAGTTGACCCATATTGCTACAATGGCCGCCACTAGAACGTCTACCCGTCAAGCGGCGCAGAAGGCGAAGGAAGCCATTGCGGCTGCTCCAGATGTCAAGAGCCGAGGTCCTGCTGGCGCAAAGCGAAAGGAAACCACTGACAAGGGCCCTGCACCGAAGAAAGGAAAGAAGGAGGATGACAAGGTAAAGCCCGAGGAAAATCAGCAGCCGACGACCGAGGAAGAAGTGAAGACAACAGAAGGTATGGTGTACCGTCAATCTATGGAGATTCGGGCTGACGAGATCAGAACGTGCGGAAGAGCCGGAAAAGCCAGAGTCGAAGTCTGAAGAAGAACCTGAGAAGCCTGTCGAAAAGGAAGAACCGCAGAAGACGGATGAAGAGCCCGCAGCGGCACCAGCTGAGCCTGCCGACAAAGTTGAGGATCAACCAAAACCAGATGAAAAACCCGAGGAGAAGCCAGAGAAGGATGTAGAGGAGAAACCAGAAGAAAAGAGTGAGAAGAAACGCGAGGCAGAGCCAGAGACAAAGCAAGAGGAGAAACCCGCTCCTGCTGCTGACAGGGACGAAGCCGGCGTCAAAACATCCCAGGAGCGGGAGGAGAAGGTCGCATCAAACGTACTCGAAAAAGGAATCATCTATTTCTTCTACCGACCGCGCGTAAATGTGACCGACCCGCAAAGCGTTAGCGATGTTGCCCGGAGCTTCCTGGTGCTGCGACCGACACCCATTGGTGCCACATTGAATCAACAGCAGGGCTCTGTGGAGCCTGGCGCAAAATGCCGGCTGTTGATGCTGCCCAAAAAGAAGTTTCCCACCTCTGGTAAAGAACGTGACATGGGGTTCGTCGAAAAGGCCGGACAGAGTATGAAGTCACTCCAAGAGACCTTCATTGCTGGCGATACATACGAAACGTCTACCCGTGGTGAGCGAACCGTTCCCGAGGCCAGACCGTTTGCCGAGGGCGTCTACGCCATCACATCTACGACTCGGGCGTCTCACTTGGCTTATGTCTTGACCATTCCGGAGACTATCGGATCCATCCAGGAAGACTTTGGTTTGCATTCTCGAGGCAGTTGGGTCATCCAGTCGAAGAACCCTAAATACCCCGGCCCATCCTATGCTCAGATCCAAAAGGACCCCGAGTATCCCGAAAGGTACACTATAAGCTGCCGCAGATCATTCCAGAGATAATTGCTGACAATACCAGTGTGCGCGAAAAATTCGGCGACTACCGTTGGGTCCCATTGCAGCCAGAATTTATCGACTACCCCAACGCACAATTCCTGATGATCGGCGAGGCTACCGACGACCTGGGCAAGGCCGCGACAGCCGAAGAGGGCGACAAGCAGGCCAACGAAGCACAGCCCGGCGAGGAACTAGAGAAGTTGGAACAGGAGAATGAAGAGCGGATTGAAGCTCTACGGGGTAAGTTGCCGGCCAAGCCTATGTTGTGATTCGGATGACTTAGTTAACTTCTGTTTAGGCGATGACACCATCTATGAAGATCTCGGATTGGATGCGAAGAACTATCCCAAAGTGCCAACGACCTGGAATGGCGAATGAAAGCTTCAAAAGTAGTGACGAATCTCAAAAACAAATATTGAAATGAAATGAAATGACATGACTCGAAACTATCCTGTTGCTGAAGCCTGTAGAGAACTGCCACACTGGACTAGACCCTCGGCTCTGGCTAATTCATCCCTATGAAGCAAATTGCATTGCAGCGAAGCACCCACTGCGCCTGCAGCACTAGTATCCCTTTAGTTCCGTTCCTCTAAATCTAGTCTTTTGAAGGTACTAGTAGTTGGGATTATTTAACAAGGGAGCTGCACTTCTATTACTACTTAGCAGGATTCATGGATTTCGCGTCGGTTCAGGTATGCGAAATGGGTCGGGGTATGGTCTTGATAGTGATCAGGTGTTGGTGTGTAGAGTGAGGTTATAGATTTAAAAGAATTCAGGTTCTGCAACAGTTGTGTGATGGTTGGTATATTAGTGGCTACTAGGTTATTTGTAGTTGTGTGAATATATTTTTGCGGGTACGAGTTTGGTGATAACCGACGCGGTCATTCAGCATCGTGAGTACAACCATTAAATTGCAGCGACAACTCAAAATATACTCAGTAGTTAATTTTCAGCATAAGACACTGTCAAGTGGATATTTAAATTGAACCATAAGAGGCGGATACTAATAAATACTAATAAATGAATCCGTGGGGGGGCCCGACACCAGATATATTTACCCAGCTGCACATAAATTGACCACCACTCAAGAGAAGAGAGTACTTCAGAAGCAACACTCGCATCGCGGAACCCAGTCCCGTACATAGAATATGTTTACCTTGTTTGTCCCCATCGCATTCATAATGCAGTAATTGCAACTACGACACTCGTTAAATCGGACGCCAATTCCCTCCTCCTCAGCTCGTTACTGGCAAACGTTCAGTTAATGAGATGAAATATTGATCGCACGCAGAATATCATCCAGCGACCAGCCTGGACCGCCCGGGACAATCTCCGCCCAGACTTCTTCCGGCACGGCGTCTTCGGCATCCAGAAGGCTCCAGTTGGGACTGGGTTCCGGCTTGATCCATTTGAAATCTTCGACCTGGCTCCAGTGGTCTTCGTCATCTGGGCGATCGTGATCGAGCGTCTAGAATTATCATCGTTAGTAGAAGACTGGACATGGTTATAGAGGCAACCTACGTAAACACGGGGTTTCCGACCGAATCGGACATTGCTGCAATCCTCGATGATCGGGTTGCTGGAACAGCTGAGGTAGACGTCTACATTGGAGCAGTTGTGCATCCGGAACTGTCGACAGTCAACCACGAGAATGCTATTCTCCACCCCCGTGATATGGGCCGGGCCGTTGATCTGGCCACAAACGAGGAGACTCTCCTTAACGCTCTTGATGGTCAAACTGGTATACGGCTTTCCGTTGGCGGTGGGAATAGACATGTCGACTACGCAGTGGCGCAGATGGGTAATGGATGCCGGCACAGTTGCGGTTGAGCCTGAGGACGGCAGCATGATGTGCAGATTATGGTGGTTGTTAACAGACACCGAGGACACGGCCGTTGCGGCGAATCCACCTCCTACGTCTGACTTGGGTTTGTCCTCATCTTCATCCACTGTGAATGCAGGGATAGAGGTCGGAGCAAGCTCCGGTCTTTGTAGATGGAGGCGGTTGTCGGGCTCGTTCAAAGGCGTTGACGGATACATGGGGGTTTGTGTCGCGGACGAGCTAACCGATGATGTGTCAGGGGAGGGGAACCCAGGGATACTGCGTCGACCTTGAGCGGCGAGATGCGCTGCATCGGACAGCGAAATGGCGGATGCATTCTTCTTGGTCTTGAAGCTAAACTTTGGTCGTGGTTCGACTGCAGCTCGAGTCTCGACGAGTTTGTCCTGCAGAGCTTTGATGGCCTGGAGAAGTCAGTATGGCAAGCGTTACTCAGGCGCGTGGATGTGTACCTCAGCATATATCCGCTGATCATAGGTTGGGATATAGCTGGCTGCGTCCTTGACCTCGTTGGACAAGCGCGCAATGCCCGCCAGACAGTGATCGGTTGCGTCTGTCCGTTCACCTCCCACTAACGACGTATCGGCCAGCCGATCCATCTGTTCCTGGAGCGCTACAGGAAGAACAGGGGTCAGATTCCTCTCTTCTGAAAAGAGGAAGAGCATAGGTAATCAGCCGGATCAGCTCAATCATACCGGTGATCTCATGCTGAAAATAGCGGAAGAACCGTTCCTTCAAGGGGATTTCGGACTTGAGAATGGTTTGATTCTCGGACTGAGAGGGCCGACGGGCCGGATCAAACTCAGGCATCGACATGATGGCGATGATTTAGATGAAGGTAGAAAGTATAAGAGGATAGGGAAAGGACGAGAAGACTGCGAGTCGACGATGTTCTGGGGTTGGAAGAACGGGGCGGATGAGATGTATTGATGACGTCGACCCGAGCTCGCTTCACTTTTTGCAGCCGGGACAGCAGAGGTTGGAGCTTGAATTTTGGGGACTGAAAAGGCAGGAGATGGTAAATATGACCTTGCTGAAGGGAGCAGAATGCTAGAAAGCTCCAGACACACGAAGGATTAGCTATTCACGTCCAATGCACGACAGGGCATCAGTCCACCCCAGCGATAGGGGGAAGACAGGGAGGGGCAAGCGCGCTTCGATGGCCAATGCCGAGTCGATCACCCGCCGGTCCACCTCCGGACACCCCGGAATTGAAGCAAAGGGAATCCAGCATTACCCACCCCAGTAGGTTAGGACGACATGCACAAGCAGCGTGTCCAGCTCGTGGTGGCACGAGACCAGAATTCACTGGGTCAGTTCTGCTACTCCCAGAAGATGGTTGGTGACGTCGACTAATCGGGCCGTTCGGAATTCGGCGATTCTCGCCCTCCGCGTTGTTGGCGTCCCCGCACTAGTCCATTTCGGGCCACGACAGCGGCCACTCCCGAATTGACATAAATTATTATGGAAGAAAGTAAGTAGTATATTATGGATAGCATACAATTCATACATTCATTGCACATTAAATCAGAATATATAGTAGCCCATCACACATACAGCCAGAATGCATTGTAGCCTTTTATTTCAAAGCGCCAACGCCAATGTCAGCCGCCAGACTCCACCTTCATTTTTCCCTTCAGAATCACGTCGACGATAGCTCTGGCAGATCGGGCCGGGGAAGAGAGGGAAGACCATCGATCTCGGCCAGTAGTTCGGTCGAGAGCAACGAATGCCGTCGACGTTGAGTATGGAAATCAGCTGCCATGGGCCGCTCCACCACTAGTCGGTCAAAATCGGATCGCAGATCACAGTCACTGGTCGTCTCAATGCCGTCTTGCATGCGGACCGACCTCAGCACCAGTTTGCCCGCCTTAACCCAGAAGGCGAGCACCTCGGTTTCCTGAGGGAAGGACAATGCCAGTTGTCCCGGTCGGAAGACAGACGGGCTAATCTTGGAAGAAGCCTTCCTCACCCGCGAAAGCTGAAGACGCCCGTTGGCCTTGGAATCCCCTACATATACCTCGCACATCCCGTTCGCTATAATGAATCGCGTCCCGGAAGGTGACTGCGCCGCATGCACCACTCGCGTACTGAAGGAGTCGTTCGTCGTCTTGTCATCCAACATCGAAAAGAATGAGGGGTATTCTTTCGCAAAGAAGGCCGTTAGGAGAACCGCATGCTGTGTTCCATCATAAAACACCCCCGTAAAGTCACCGTCGTTGCTTGTCCACTAGGAACAGTTAGTGGCACATTTCTTCCGGTGAGAACGAAAATACATACCGATGGAAGCTTGAGCGACTTCGACTTGTCAGGGACAATGCTCCATTGCTGAAACGTGCAGTTCCACACATCGACGTAGGCATAGTGGTCTCCAAGATGGGTGGCAATGGCGAAGTGTTTTCCATCTGGAGAAAATTGCAACTTCCTCTCGATGATAGCCTCCTGTTTCTTCCCCTGATACGCCGTCCCCTTGGCATTGGGGGACGCGCCCATCACAGACCGGTGACCAAAGTCCGACGACCGATCCATGCCACTACCTAGCGAGACTCTCTGGATAGTTCGTGTGCATATCTCGTATACTCGAACCTGGTCTTGAAGGGTGAACGCAACATACCGATCGTTGCGTGACATCACCATGCAGGTAACGGGGAAGGTCTGGTTTTCTGTTTCGATGGTGAGGTAAGCTTGGGGAACGTCGCTGTCGTTCTCGAACACGACGAGCTCGTAGTGCTGTGTCTGTTAGCATCCAATTCACGAAGTCAAGGACAACTGGTGAATACACACCTGTCCAACAGAAGCCAGGACGGCGCACCGCTGGTCTCCTGCCGCGGCTTGTTGCACGCCCGGAATATCATATTTGTGACCCTTGGGCTTCTTGCCATCCCCTACGCTTGTTTCGAACCTCATCACCCAGTTGCTGCCTGCGCCCCAGAACAGCAGACAGCTTCCTGAGGTCGAAAAGCAGAACCGAGGTTGACGAGGTAACTGATGTCCTCTGGCTGAGTTCCTCCTGAAGAGCGATGCCCCGCCTCCAAAAGGTAGCTTGACATTTCTGAGGTCGCGTGAAAGGGTTTTGATCGCTTGCCTGTCAAATGACTGGTCCGTCCTACTCCGCGATAGGATCGGACTGAAGACTTCGGTCGTGGTGGCGATAGCCTGCTTGCTCGTTACTTTCGACAACGGGGCTGGGTTCGAGCTGGGAGAAATCGGGCGTTTTGACGGGTCGGACTCAAGCCGTGAGGACTGACTGGTGGAGTGACTGAGAGAGCTGGAACAGGACGTGGTGTCCCTCGAGGTCGAATCAAGAAGAGAATGGCGCCGCTCTGCCTCCGAGTCTGAGAAGAAATGTAAGGCATCTGATAACTGCTCGAGAGGCTCGATCATCCGAGCATGCTGAACCCTCTTGTTGCCTGGGCATAGAGGACAGTCGATATCCATTGTCAGAAATTCGGGGCTCCCTTGTAATTGCTAATCAACGTCAACACTGCACAATCACAACCAGGACCATCAAAATTCCGCTCCTACCTCGTAAGCACCTTTGTCATGGGCCTTTAAGCTTTCCTCCAGTAGTGGTCCAGGAACCGGATGCACCGCAGGGCAGTTGACGACGTAGACTGCGCTGACACGGGAAGTCTTAGGTTGAGGTTTCGGATCAGCTTCGGCTGCAGAAGAGCTCTGCAACCACTGCGTGAGGTGTTGTTGATAATCATGGGAGAATGCTTCTAATTCCCCGTTACAATCCCACATTTGCACGCGGCGGTTGATAAGCCACCGAACGAACTGGCTAGATGCCTTCTCCCATGAAGTCCGGATAGGAGCCATTTGATGCCAAGTATCCCGAATCCTCCGTGTCTGTAGGGGCGGGTGTTCTTCGGCAGTTTGACTTAAGATGATCGTTGCGAAAATGCGAAGAGGCGCGGTATTGAACTCGTCATCGAAGGCAGCCAGGACCGTCCTTGTGAGCTTTTTCTTGATTTCCTGTGCTTGATTGAAGGACTCGTCCACTTTATATGCTGCCGGACTGGTGTAGCCCTGTTCTTGGGAAATCCGACGGCGATCAATGTGACACTGGATGATGGCGGAGTCTACTGCCCAAAGCATATCGTATAAGAGACAGAAGGACACCAACTGATCCGCATCATTCTTCATCACGTTCGTCAGAAGATCAGTGATAAGCCTCTCTGGAGCGCCCGAAAGTGGATACTAAGGAGTAGTAAGTTACTGTCCTCATCAAAGCATGTTTACTTAATAAGACTTGAAGACTTACTAGGCCCGTTGCGAAAGGAGGAAGATATGGCTTTCCACAGTCCAACAGGAAGGCCTGACTCGCTGACAGATCTGGGGATCCAATACTAGTTAGGGCCTTGGGCAGAAAATCACTAATCAGGAAGCGCTCGACATTTGAAAGGTCCGGGTTCCTCCAGGCCGCTCTCATGGCTCGCTCAAACTGGAACTTCCGGTCGGTATCAATCGCCTCCCCGCGCAACAGGAGCACTCGAATACCAGTGAGTAGCGTATGCGCGATGAGGAGTCTGTATCGAATGAAGTCGCCATCGGTCGATTTATGGGAGGGAAAGAGCTCGACTTTGACTTTGACTAGGTACATCAGAGCCGAGAAGATGGTCTCGGTGGGGAGCAGATAGGGCAGGAAGTAAGGGTGACAGTCGCGAACATGGCTCAAACCCTGGAGATAGGTTCGCTGGGCGTCGAAGATGGTCTTGATCCAGAAGACGGAGCGGGTGAGAGGCTCAACGGATGCCTTGGCATCCTGTTGGTAGAGCGCGATGTCCAGCGCATGCTCTCCGATGATTTCGCGTAGGATGTGGGCAAGATCACGGCGGCCCAGCTGTTCCCACACGGCTGCCACCAGCGGATGTGACATGGGGAGAACCGGGATGGCAGGCCACGGACATAAGAGCGAGCGAGCAGACTAAAGTTCGATCACCAGATGACTGGTTTGGGGGGCACGACAAGGAGATCCGATCATCGACAGAGAGCCGCAGCGACAAAGAAGAAGTTGTTTCAGAGTAAGAGGAGAAGGAAGAAAGCAGGTTGAGGCGCGGTGCCCGCCTGCTGCCAGGTGACCCCGACTGATTGGGGGGAAAGCAACCATGCCGTACTAGGACGAAAATGCCTTATGTCGGTGACCTGCAGCCCTCCTCGAATTTTTTGTGGCCAGCTTATGCGAGGCTGCGTGTCTGTCTTACACGGTTTGCTGATTTGCTAGCAGCCCATCACCCAGTCATCCGGCCCGCTCATGGACACGGGAGGGGTTGCAGACGCCCCAGCCTCGTTGGTTGATGATAAGTTAAGAAGTAATCCCTTGCTAGTAACGCATTGGTGGTGTTAGCCATCGGAGAACCAACGACAGTTGAAAGAATGAGAGATTGTTATTGGAGAGGCTAGTGTGGGAACCGTCATAGCTTGGGGGGGGACCCATTGGGACTTTGATGAGCGATGGTCCGGGCTGGATCGAATGTGACAGAAGCACAGTAGAGAAGGAGGGATGGTAGGCAGTGTGTGCGCAAGAGTGGAAACGGAGAAGATCATTCCTGGCAGGAGATGGAGACGGATGGAGACGGGGAACAGGGATTGCGGGTGGAGAGAGCGACCAAAGCAGTAAGGTACCGGCCCCAGGCTGCAACTAGACGGAGCGACTAGTTGCTGTCCCCTCCCCATCATTGCAGTGGGAGGGATCTGGCTCGCTTTAGGGCTCCTTCGCTTGACTCCGTTGCGTAGGGAAGCTTCAGGGCATGTTTCACGAAGCATGACTTTATTATTGCTTCGTCCAATGATCCTGGCAGGTTAGATGCATGGGGATAATGACCGACTTGGGATGCATAGAATGCTTACGGTGTGCCTGAGAGGATGAGCGGCACAACGAGGGGGCCAAATAGCCAAAGCTAAACTAGAACCTCGTACTAACAGCTGTATCTAGTATTTACTATCTTCTAGTCACTCCTAATAACTAATTGTTACTCACTAGTCAGCTCGTTACCCCGCCATGTCTCTCATCATCCCAGTCTTTTTTCCAGGCACCATTTCTGGTAGGAGTCTCTCCCCCCCTACTGTCGGTCTTTACTCCTCGCTGACATGTAGTTAGTTAGTGGTTAGGTACAGATCCGACTACCTGCTAACTTAACTGATTTGGTTACTGACTAGGCTGGTCCCGGTAGTACCGCCGTTATAACTGTTTTGGACCCCACGGCCCGTCCGTCTCGCCTACAGTTAGCGGCAACCACCGAATGGTCAATCCCCGCCTAATCCAGCAGCTCTACTCTGTGGGCTGTCTCTCGGTCAGTCTGCCGCGGTCGGCTTTCTTCCTCCATTGTGCTTACCAACCACAACCGCCATTATTTTACTTCTTCTCCTTCCACTTCTTATTCCTCTTTTCTTTTTCTTTTTTATCTACCCCTCGGTCTGACATGCATGCAGCCTAGTACCGCCCATGCAAGACCGACTGTTACAACCCCAGGGCTTATCTCATAGCATGTTTGCACCTTGCTGAAATAAACCGAGGTACACCGAGCCTGAGACTATTGAATTTGTGCCCTGAGTACAAAGTAGATAGTAGTGGTGGTCTCGTCTCGTGCACTGCCACGGCCGGCGGTTCCCCGTTCTTAGGCCCGAGCGCCCTAGTAGTAACAACTGGTGGTTCCTCTCTTGACAGGTCCCACTAAAGATCGTGCAGGAGGCTAAATTGATAAGAAGCAATGAAATCCTGTGTACGGCGGGCAAATGCAATTCCGCCGTGTTTACTGCGATCGAAGCTGCTCCCAATCTGCCACCCTTTCCAAATCCTATAATTATAATTATGTAGTAGTAGTTGATCTCCCCTCTAGCTTTTCTCCAGCACCCCACTGGCCATTAATACTACAATCTTTGAGGTTAAAGCGCGATGATCGACGGAACACTCCTTCCTTCCTGGTTCCGGATGTGCGTAATTTCGAAATAGCACTACTTATGATAGTTACCATCGTACAGCCTTGACACTGACTGCATCCAAATAGCCTCCTACTGGGTCTCAGCATCTACTCATACATACCCCAGCTGCAGCTCCTCTGGAAAACCAAGAATAGCTCCGGTCTTTCAATCAACTATGTACTTTTAAACCTCATCTGTGCGACAGAGCAGTTTCTGCTTGTGCTCCTTTACAACAACACCCCAGATGCAGAGCCGAATATGTTTGTGGAGAATCCCGGATCCTTAGGAGACTGGATGAATCTTATTCAAATCACTGTTGTCTGGATACTTTCTGGCCTTACGTGAGTTTACATATGCATTCATTGCCACTCGAGAAACTTATACTGACTCTAACTCTTAAAAGATTTACACTAAGCCTGCGATACCCCTCCGACTCATCCTTCCGAGACAAGCTCTCCGCGACCTTATCATACATTGCCTACTTCCTCGTAGCCGTCGTTCCGTCAGTATGCGTGGTCCTCACAACCCGTAGAGGCGAGGATCCGCGCACCAGCGAGAATGAGTGGCAGTTCGCTCTCTGGAGTGGTGTCCATCTCATACTTGTCAACCCAGTCATGACACTTCTTTCATTCAGCGCCGTGTTCTGTCAGGCGCCGAAATTGCTAAAGGGGGTGTCGCCGCCGCGGGCTTTGAGTCTTCCAGGACTTGCGATCCAAGCAGGTGTGTTCACGGTTCTTGCTTTGAGTTGGCCATTCCGGTTTGTATATCTCGATCCTGATTGGAATGTTTTTGCATCGTGGTTTGCGCTGTATACCTGGTATTCTTCTGTTGGTTGGACGGCTGTGGACTGTGCGGTCTTTGCGCTGGTTCAGGTGATTCTGTTGTGGTTGGCGTGTAGGAACAGGAAGCACTGGCAGTTGGCTGAGGATGGCGAGACTGAGCCGTTGCTGGCTAATGGGGGATGATTGAGCCGGTTGATGTGTACATTGTCAGTTATTCACCGCTCCCAAGGCCTTGTTTTTTGGTGTCTCTCTTAGTCAATGGCTGAGGTGGTCAGCTGCTGGCAGGGATCGGGCCATATGATGTAGACTCAATTCCCATTACAGCTAAAGAAGTTCCCAGTCCGCTGGTTTGTATGGAAAACGAAAATAGACAATATGATCTCATAGCACAGATACCCCTGTATTTCTCTCTAGCTCGTAAGCACGTCAGAATCTTGACGCTGTAGTTAAGGCTAGTCAAGGCTAGTGATAGCTCTTTTATATTGAAGCTATGATAGAGTTAAAACATACACTAGTATGTTCAAGTAGCAGGAATGATATAGAATAAGTCGGGTAGTAATAATACTAGGAATTTTGCTACCATTCCGACTCAATCGTTAGGTAATTCTATATAGACATACAATCCGAATAGCTAGAGAAGGGAGCTTCTCCTTCTACCGGCTAGTACTATTAGTGACTCGAAGGGGGTACGATGGCTATATCATACCCGACGCTAAGTCATTGATCGAACAATCAATTGTCTTAACTTCTAGTTCACAGCTGTAAACTCCACCATATTCGAAGCCGGCACCACCACCTCCGGCCGTCCGTCATTGTCAGCTGGCTTAGTGATCACCCCGAATCCAACTACCATTACAATAGTGTCCATATGATCCTCCTTTGTTCCCCAATCCCACCAAGTCCACTTGCATCCCTTGAATCGGTGTCGCATGACCTCTCCATCGCGAGCATCTTCTGGTAGATCAACCATAGTGTCAAGCTTTTGTACTTCAGTCCAGGTCTCGTTGGGCTGTAGAGACATAAAACCGTCGCTTGTACCTACTGTTCGTGGAACCTCTTCATCCTCAAACAAACCGTATCCACATACGCCATCGCCGCGCCAGGACTCCCACTCTCCAGTATCCTGGCTACGCCGATAGAAACAAGATACCTCCCAATCATACAAGTCGCCCACTGAGAAAGTAATCGGTCGAGGGGTCTCGTCTCCTGATACCCCGTGGTAGGTAAGCTTCCAAGTCAACGGCCACCTCTCTTGGATTCTCCATGTCGGCGGGCCTTCAATCTCGAGGCTGAATATCGGCACGCCTGGGGAGCTTAGCAGTTGTTAGCGTCCTAATATCAGCGGATAAATGGGCGGAGAAGAGGTACTCACAGAGTATTGGGATCTAATTCGATGATTGGAGGAGTCAATGGCATTGGTGGCGGCGGCGGCGCACTACCTTCGATTAAACTGAAGGAGCATCGTGCGCATCCAGGCAGTGTCATCGGGGTCGATTTCGCCTCCAGCCGTGACTTCCAACGTTTCTTCATTTGTATCCTTCGATCCCCAATCCCAGAAATGCACCTCACCTCCGGGCCAGAAGAGCTCGTATTTGATCCATTCACTTTTTATAACGGATCGACATATATTCTCCCCAAGAGGGATATCCCACGACACGGCTTCATCATCCGCACCCAAGTACCAGAGGTGAAGAGGGTTTGATTGCCGCGTTATTGGTGAGGAGCAATCTGACTGCACCTCCACCTCCATTAGGCCCTCACTGGACGAGTCACGAAAGACCCTGAATCCTTCATCGGTGCTTGGGGACCAGTAGAAGTAGCATGGCTTGGGTTCCTGGTGCTCCTTGGATCGCGTGATAGTCACTGTAACGAGATTCAAATTCGGGCTTTCAGTATAGAAGTTTCTGGGTGCAGTTAGTGTTACCTCCAGCGCTGGAGTATGTGGACTTTCCGATCCCTTATGTCAGTATCTTTCTGATGGGCTGTAATAATACGAGGGATACACACTGTCGGTCCGCATCGGAGAATTTAAGATACGGTTTCAGGGGGTCGTTCATGGTAACGGATATCTTGGTTGAGTAATTTAAAGCTATAAGCAAATCGCGTCGGGATAAAAAATGGAGTGTATAGAAGAAGATTGTCAGTGGACTTAGGTTACGGGAAACAGAGGTCCTTATATGGAAGTGCTTGTGCGGGGTGTCGACACCACCAAGACGTAGTACATTAGTTAGCCGAGCTAAATCAATACTGTAATATCGACAACTCCAAATTCCATGCCTGTTGCACTTAGATTTGCAGCTCTTATCTTAGTTGCTTCGTATATGGTGGTTTGTTTCAATACGCAGTAGGCAATAAACCGCACTAGTATTTTTGCTCGAATACGGAGTTCTTTTTGCCTCACGTGATTTGAGACAAGTTCTGTCCAAGCCCATCCTTTGGATATATGTACTTGTGCAGACTGTGGTCGAAACGCCGCACGTAGGTGTTGACAATCCCGCGTTTGGGCTGAAGCAGTGTGGTATTGATCAGACCCTGGACGCAATCGTCCAACAGGGTGTCGTAATGACCGGCTTATACTGCGACACGGAAACATCCAACATGATAGACTAGTATGGACCCTATTGGGCGTCGGAAGAAGCAGAAGAAGATGGGCTGAGATTCAAGCTACGGGAGCAAACGCCTACTAACATGAAACCTCGCCTACCGTTTCTAAAACAAGCAATGACGTGTATTCTCCAATCTTAGGGAGTGGAATGTGCTTACCTGATGAGAACCTTTCATTCTATACATAGCACTCCCTACTCTACAATATATCCGAAGCAGTCCTCCTCTCTGTCACGCGGACATCCAATGGCCCTCGTTCCCAGACCATGTACGACATCTGCTCCGCCCAGTTGGAGCTATGTGGCATGAGCTGCAGATCAAACCGAAACAGTAGACGAGCAAGAATCAGACGCATTTCGGCATACGCCAGACTAAATAAGCGTTGTCAGTCGACGACCTAGCCATACAATCAGCTATGAACACAAGGGAAAGTATACCTCTTTCCAATGCAATTCCGAGGTCCAACATGGAACACCTGGACTGACTGCAAGTTATCGTCCTTGTATGCTGGATCGCCCAACCATCTTTCCGGAATGAATTCGTCCGGGTTGCGAAAGTTCTTGGGGGACCTCGACGTCGCCCAGCTATGAACGGATACGGCGGCCTAGTTGGTCTTCAGTCAGTGCGCAGCTCTCATCTTCAATAATCAAAAGCAGAATGGACTATATTCAAGACGCACCCCGCCTGGAACCCATCTCCCAGCAATTTCAAACCCCTCCCCAGGCACCTGTCGTGGTAACCCCGAGGGAATTGGCGGATACAATCTCCATCCCTCCTCCAAACACGCAGTCAGGTACTTCAAGCCTGCCACGGACTGGATTGTGATCTCCTCCTCCATGCTGAAGGCTGTCTCAATCTCTTTCCTCAGCTTGCGCATCTTCTCCGGATTCTTCAGCAAGTAGAACGTCACTGCCGCCAACGAGGTCGCACTCGTCTCACTCCCCGCTACAATCAACGTGGACGAATTATTCGCTAGCTCGTCAAATGATAGCTCCGGCGTCCCTGTCGACAGATACTGCATGAAGTCCTTGCGATCCGTCTCTCTGCCCAGTCGGCGCATCACCTTCTCGGTCGTCTTGGCGATATGCGCCAGCCGCTTGCGCGCCAGCTCCGCCGGCAGCAGATACCACAGCAGGAGGGACTGCAAACCTGGGAATCGCGCGCTGATCTGTATGAGCATGCTCGTTTTGAGAGCGAGGAAGATTAAGCGCACCCAGTCGTCATACGCGCCTCGTTTGAGACAACCGAAGGGCTCACCGAAGCCTAGGTCACCGATGATGTCGAAGGTGCAGAACTGTTTCCTTAACTGATTAACATGATAGAGAACAAGTAACAAGAGGGGGTTTTATTCGTTTTTCCGCTGCTGCGCGGAAACTCACATTGAACCAAGCGCTCATGTCCACCACTTCGCCCGCGCGCTGCCCCAACTGCTGCACGAACAAGTCCACATACCCCTTGATTATGGGCTCTTGCTCGCGGATTGACTTTTCTGCAAACGCGGGGGCCAGCTTCTTTCGGAAGCGGTTGTGGTCGTGGAAGCCTGCGGTGGTGATGCTCTTGTTGCCCGAAGCAAAGCCCGCATAGAAGGTGGGGTCTTTTCCCAGTTCGGGGAATTCAGTGCCAGTGGGACGCCCGCTGTAGATGGACGTCCAGGCACGCGGGTCGGTGTAGGAGAGTTCGTTAGGGGCATAGCGTACGACGGAGCCGTAATGGGCATGGAGGTGGCGCATGTCCTCGTGGAAGTTACCGCGGAGGAGAGCGTACGCATACCAGAGGGGGAAGACAGCGGCGTATTTAGGGCCTGGGTAGTTGGAGAGCGGGTGGAAGTAGAGGTTGTATAGAGCGAGGGCAGTGAAATAGGTGGGGAGCTGGAAGGGAGGGTTTAGTGGGGATTGATTGGACATGGTGTAGGTGAGAGACCAGGAAGGAATTGTAATACTACATACCGCGATGAGAACTGGACTTATCGCGTATAGGGGGTTGGACCACAGTGACGCAGCGACATTATTTCCTAGGACATACAACCCATGCAAGCTGGAGACAGCCATGGTGCCTCCCCAAGGCTGTGACTTGCCTCGACGGTTTTTGTGGCAAAATCCAGCGTATTAGCTAGTAGCAATGAGTCCACAAAGGGAAAGGATGGGGCGGATGTATCACTCTCTCAAATAGGAAATTTGATTCTATTCATGTCTATACCATGATTTCCCAACTGAAATAAGCATAACATCGAGGCCTTCATGGCCGGTCATTCTGCATTCGGTCTAGCCGCGGAGCCTCTCCGAAAGGGTTAGCCGGCATCGGGCCATCCCAATACGGTAATAGGGCGCCCTGGTTGTGTTACCCTGACCTGGTAAATGATAAGCGGGGATGAAATGAATGACACAGTCATGAAAAGCTAGAGGGAAAAGCAAGTTCTGGCGTGGTATATGTATTCGGCTTTCGTGGACATTATCAACTAGTATACATTCAGTAATTCCGAACTGGGAGCTCAAGTAGTTACCCACCGGTGACCCTAAAGCACCGCCGAATCAAGTTAAACTATATAACGAACAAGTAAGGATCCATCATCCCAAGATGGGATTAAATTATTCAGTCCTATCGCGCTACGAAGTCAATATGTCCTTCTCCCAGTATCAAGATCAGGATGGTGCAGTCCAGTCAGCAGATCGAATTCCCTGGGATCCCAATTGCTCTATCTTCCCCTCCAGAAAGGATCTGCCTCATATACCTGGTGCTCCCAAAGATGCTGCGTGGGTATGGGGAGAAAATGATCAGGTCGGATACTTCCTTCAGTCCGCGTTATATCTTGGATATTTGGAACTGATTTATTCCCAGATCGGACGATTAAACTTATTGTCACCCACACGTGTCAAAGATGCGGCCTCTTCAGAGATCAAGACTGGCCAAATGATCCGGCTAGAGTGGGTGATATTACATACCTCTCCGCATAACCGCTCATCCCAGTTCATTGACGGGTACTTACTTATTATACCTGGGCTCCTATAGTCTTCCCCTAGGTGTACCCAACCCCCCTGCATTCGGTCGAGCAGGCTTTGTGCACAAGATCAAGCCCTTACAAGAAAACCTCATCTACGATGATCTGTACGAGTCATTGAACACACAGAGCGGGACGCAGTGGGATGGATTCCGGCATGTAAGTGAGAATCCCTCCTGTAGCATTACTGTAGTGCTTCAAGCTTTATTTTATTCCATTCTATTCCCTTCGTGAAGACCCCATCACCCAGTATTCTAACATAACTACTAGTTTTCACACCTTTCCTCGGGACTGTTCTATAACAGTGTACGTACATCATGTCCAACAACCCCCAATCAATCAAACCAATCCCACTAAGCAAATTAAGAAAAATAGGCCACAGCCACCGACATCACAGGCTCGACCCCAACCCTAAACAACAGCATCCACCACTGGTCCGCCACCCACGGCGGCATCGCCGGCCGCTGCCTCCTCCTAGACTTCTACACCTACGCCCAGACCCACTCCCTGCCCTACGACCCCTACCAAGGCAGCGCCATTTCCTTCACCGACCTCCAGGCCTGCGGCCACAGCCAGGGGATCAACATCCTACCCGTCTCCCAAGGCGGGGATATCCCCGTGGGCACGATCCTGATGATCCGCTCAGGGTTCGTGGCCAGGTATAATCAGATGTCTCCAGAGAATAGGGCCGATATTCTTCAGAACGAAAAAACTGAGTATGCGGGGCTCAAGCAGGAGGCGGCGATGCTGGACTGGCTGCATGATTGCTACTTCGCGGCGGTGGGAGGGGATGCGCCGGCGTTCGAGCGCTGGCCACCCCAAGAAGAGTATTTTCTGCATGAGTATGTGTTGGCATTGTGGGGGATGCCGATTGGGGAAATGTGGGATTTGGAGCGCGTAGCTGCGTTGTGTCGCGAGTTGCGTAGGTGGACTTTCTTCATGACGAGTGCGCCGGCCAATGTCGAAGGTGAGTAAGTTACCGGAATCGCTAATTTTGCTGTGTTGGATGCAGGGTGTGTTTGCTAACTAATTAATGGGTGTAGGTGGGGTTAGTTCGCAGGCGAATGCGATGGCGATTTTCTAAGTCTGGGGGGGAGGTGTTAAGGTATGCGGATGAAACAGAGAGTGGTAGATCGTTGGTGTATGTAGTAGGGGCTTTTCCTTCTTTCTTTATTTTCAGTAGCTCTGAAATGAGATCCCATCCTTGTTGACTGTGATACGACAAAGAACCAATCAAGTAAACAGACCAAGTACTCATCAAAATCAACCTACCATATCTTCTCTCCTACGGTATTTCCAAAACCCTACTTCCTCAACTTGAACTCAATCACCCCCATCGTCCCCGGCAACCGAATAACCCTCACCACCTCATATCGCCGATCCGCCTTCAAGATCAAATCCCGAAAATCCTGCTCACTTCGCTGCTTACTGTTCGCAATCACCATCATGGCCACATCCACCTGACGAACGAGATGTTCCTCGCGCAGCGGCACCGTACCCCGAGCCGGCACAATACTCTCATTGATCAGCACCGAGCACTCCGGGCGCGCCTCCAGCGCTGGTGCGAATTGCCGCAGCACGCGTACGCAGTCGTCGTCGCCCCAATTATGCAAACACGAGCGGATGTACCATGCCTTCACGTCCTCCGGGACGACCCGCTGTGGTTGGAAGAAGTCGTGCTGGCTGAATTCGACACGAGAGAGCAGACTCGGGTCGGCGCATTGGGAGTTTTCTGAAAACATGGTTTCCGAGATGTCTTGGACGGTGAAGGACCATGTTGGGAATTGCTGTTTGGGTATTCAGTGTTTGATTTGGTAGGCAGAGAGAGGGAGAAAGAGAGAAAGAGAAAGAGGGAGGGAGAAAGAGAGAGGAAGAAAGAGAGAGGAAGAAAGAGAGAGGAAGAAAGAGAGAGGAAGAAAGAGAGAGGAAGAAGAGAGAGGAAGAAAGAGAGAGGAAGAAAGAGAGAGGAAGAAGAGAGAGGAAGAAAGAGAGAGGAAGAAAGAGAGAGTATGGATGGGGGAGAAGGTAGAGACACAACTGGATAGATCAAGATCATACCTTGGCGAGTTCGAGGGCGACATGGCCGCTGCCCCCGCCCACGTCAATGAGTCGGCCTTCGGGGTGGCCACTAGTTTTGATCCATTCGACAAGGGCGGCGGAGGATCGATCCACTAAAAGAGTAATGTCAGAAGTATTGCAAGAGACAGCGAAGCATTGTGTGGGTGGCCGCGGTACGTACACTTGGCAATCCCCTCCTGAGCGAGGGCGAATCGAACCCCCTTTTCCGGGTTCTTCTCATACCACTCGTAGAAAGGGGTGCCCCAGCTGTATGTAATATCATCAGTTTGGTTGTGGCTTTGAAATATTAATGTTTAAATTTTGGAGTGGTTGCATGCCCTACCGATATTTGAACGGCGACAGATGACTCTCTTCGGCCGCCGGATACTCCTTGAAGTAATTTGCTGTCTCGACGCTCGCTTTGTGCATCTCATCCAATCTACCATCCCGCCTTAATATCAGTAATAAAGCGGAAAACGATCTCTTTACGAAGGAGTTCACTCTAGAGAGAAGTGGGGGAGGAAGACATACTGCATCTCCACCTGTGCCCGCAACTCGCGGTCCCGGACCAACACCTCCGAAAAGGCAGTATGGCGAAACACCCCATCCTCGACCTCCTCCGCGATATTCAGCGTCGCCAGCAACCGTAGCATACGCGCTAATTTGGCTGGATCCAGTCGCACGCGCTCGCCGAGCTCTGACAGTGTCATGCAACCGCCGCCGAGCGGGATCTGGTCATACACCCTGTGCTCAAGCATGACTTGCAGCGCGGCCAGGTCGAAGTGACTGCCGAAAACCTCGCGGTGGAAGGTCAGAGGTCCTGCAACAAGGCGGGTGAGGCTGGTGGCCGCATCCACAAGTCGGGCTTTGGTGGTGTTGAGGTCTAGCGTGGGGTCTTGCCAGAGGGGGTGGTCCGTGGAGCTGGTAAAGGTGGGTTCGGGAACATTGTGCATGGTGAGTTTAATGATGATGGCTTGGGTGAGGGTGTTGATAGTCGTGGCCAGGGAGAGGAGGGTTGGCGCTGGGGTGGTCATTGTGGATGAGTAGACTTCTTCTGATGGGGAGACTGTTAGATTCGAAGGCAGGAATGTTGATGGGGGAATGTCGACTACTGTTCGGGGAGTAATGGGTATTATAGATACTTCTGTTGCTTATCTGAATGGGTGATGGGGATATTGCGAATTCGGGATATTGTCGAAGTGGTAATGGCCGAAGGGGGGTCGGATGGAGAGGGCAAGTTCGGCGAAAGCAACAGCAGGGATTTTACCTCTCATGCAGTTACGTAGTCGTGTTGTTGTACTGTTTTAGTGACAATTCTCTGGGAATCTATCAATACTATTATATGAGCAGGCTACCCGTCGTTGGCTACGGTTTTAGTTACACGGAGTACAATCTAGGTCCTTTCAGCTGTAGCTATCGTATCCAATCCGTTAGGATGCCCAACAATGATAGTCCCACCAATATACAGCGACACTACCATCCCAGTGGCCCATCGGTGTTGCTAAAGGTACCATTTGGTCCATCCTTATCCAAAGTCGCGAGGTGAACCGTCTGCAGTGCACCACTCTCCGGGGTGCCCCAGCCGCGGAAACGGTTGAAGTTGGTGGCACAAAATCCCGGGTCGCTCGCGTTGACTTTCCATCCCTTGGGCCCATAAAGATTGGCGTAATGGCAGGCGATCATATTGAGCGCCGCCTTGGAGCTGCGGTAGGCAGGGAATTGAAAGGAAGCAAATTGATCCTTGGGGTCCAGCCGGCCGGTGCACGACCCCAAGGCTGAGGATACAAAGACAATCCGCGGCACAGCGGCCTTCTCCAGCAGAGGGATAAAGGCTTCCGTAGTGACGACTTG